AACCACCCCAATTGTGTAATGATGGGTGTCATAAACTGCCCAGTTTCCAAAATGATCAGTATATTTAATACCACAGGGGGGGGACATAGAGTCTTCATTGACAAAAGATATTCGGAACACTTGATAAAGAAGAAAATAAAGGCGAACACAAAGAATGGGAAGAAAATTACAGAAACTCGACCATTCTCTCCTGTGTCCAAGGTCTCTCAGGTAACATAAAAATATTGTGTAAATAGCATAAAGTCAGAATCATACTCAGAAGTCGCAATGCAATAAGATCGTACTTAGTACACATCAAACCCCTGGAGAAGGAAAACTCTGCTTACAACATCCATTGTGAATGTGGACTTCAATACATTGGAGAGAAAAAAGTCACGGAAATATTAGAATTCTGGAGCAAAATGGACACACGAGGTTTTATAATGCCGATCTACCTGCAATATCCCATCATATTAGAGAACTGGATATGAACCACATCCGAAACAAAGAAAGATAAAAGAAGCTTTCTATATACACCTAACTGATAACATACTCAACTAATCTATATTAATTTAACTGATAATATCCTCAACTAATCTATATGAATCTAACTGATAATATCCTCAACTAATCTATATTCACCTAACTGATAATATCCTTAATTAATCTAAATTTACCTAACTGATAATATCCTCAACTAATCTATATTCAGGCCCGGCATGGCCAGGTGGTTAGGGCGCTCGACTCGTAATCTGAGGGTCGCGGGTTCGAATCCCCGTCACACCATACATGCCAACCTTCGTCTTTGCCTGGTCTCAAGTCCAGGATGAGAAAGGAGGAGGGTTGGGCGCGGGGCTAGCAACTCCACCTCGTAAAAACCAACCTGCTACAAGTAACTGCAACAACACCTTCCGTTGGTGAGGTGTTGTTGCGGCCCTTTGCTTCACTGGGAGTTTACAGGAATAAAAGAAAAAAATCTATATTCATCTAACTGATAATATCCTCAACTAGTCTATATTCACCTAACTGATAACATCCTCAACTAATCTATATACATCTAACTGATAATAAACTCAACTAATCTATATTCATCTAACTGATAATATGCTCAACTAATTTATATTCACCTAACTGATAATATACTCAACTTTTCTATATTAATCTAACTGACAGTATCCTCAGCTAATCTATATTCACGTTTGTTATGTTTTACCCCTGAGCATCACCAGGTCTTGATTACTTTAAAATGAACGTTTGTTATGTTTTACCTCTGTTTTTACTGCAAGTGAGCATCACCGGGTCTTGATTACTTTAAAATGAACGTTTATTATGTTTACCCCTGTTTTTACTAAAAGTGAGCATCACCAGGTCTTGATTACTTTAAAATGAACGTTTATTATGTTTTACCTCTGTTTTTACTGGAAGTGAGCATCACCAGGTCTTGATTACTTTAAAATAAACATTTGTTATGTTTTACCCCTGTTTTTACTGCAAGTGAGCATCACCAGGTCTTGATTACTTTAAAATGAACGTTTGTTATGTTTTACCTCTGTTTTTACTGCAAGTGAGCATCACCGGGTCTTGATTACTTTAAAATGAACGTTTATTATGTTTTACCTCTGTTTTTACTGCAAATGAGCATCAGCAGGTCTTTTGTTGAAGTTACACTTTATTTTACTGTACTTATGTATGTTTTAGTTTTAAAGCTCTAATCATATTCATTATAATTATCATAACGCAATATGTTAGGCCTATTATATTTTTAAACACTACGTTATTTATTTAATCCGTTTGGGATTTTCAAGAATTAAAATGGTGTATAACAATAGTATTTCAACCACATTATATTCATCATATATATTGTCTACGGCCCATTTCGCTCAATCCAGAGCTCTTCAGGCCGCTTGGAATATAATAGGTCTAAAATAATGTCTTATGACAAGTATAATGAATTATATCATGCTTCACCAGTTCGAAAAGACGGTTCACACCATAAAGCTAAATTTCTCATCTCTATTCATTCTCATAGTAATAGGTGGGGATCATCATGCATTAATGCCTGTAGCTGACATTATACACACACATTGAAAAACGGAAACGGGCATTCGAATGTTGTCGCTGTTGGAGTTAACTCGCTAGTGAAATTATTATGATCATCTGGGGAAGCGAAATTTGAATTTTATAAAGTCCGCTATGTCAGTCTAGTCGTTACTAACGGATGATAGCTTGATTGACAAATCACGTTATTCTTTAGGGTCACTCATAAGCTCTTATAATTCACATATTACCTTCAAGCAGTACCATTAGTAGGGATCTGTAACTACGGGTCCCATATTGAGGTGGGAAAACAGAACCGGTCCAACAGCTCCGTTGTTACTGAAATTATACCCACTTTGTAAAACCAAACTGGACTTCTAAATGTTACTATCGTTATTAAAGTCCCATCGTTGCTGGAATTATACCCACTTTGTAAAACCAAACTGGACTTCTAAATGTTACTATAGTTATTAAAGTCCCATCGTTGCTGGAATTGTACTCACTTTGTAAAGCTAAACTGGACTTCTAAATGTTACTATAGTTATTAAAGTCCCATCGTTGCTGGAATTGTACCCACTTTGTAAAGCTAAACTGGACTTCTAAATGTTACTATCGTTATTAAAGTCCCATCGTTGCTGGAATTATACCCACTTTGTAAAACCAAACTGAACTTCTAAATGTTACCTTTATTGTTTGTTTTGGAATTTCGCGCAAAGCTACACGAGGGCTATCTGCGCTAGCCGTCCCTAATTTAGCAGTGTAAGACTAGAGGGAAGGCAGCTAGTCGTCACCTCCCTCCGCCATCTCTTGGGCTACTCTTTTTACCAACGAATAGTGGGATTGGCCGTCACATTATAACGCCC